TGTCAAAGGAGCGTTTAGGGAAGCAGGAGCTGTAAACCAACAAATCTTGCTCACAGAACAACTATCACTCCAGCGCTCTGCATCTCTAACATTCAGGTCCCTGGGATAATAAATCTCATTGTAGACATCTTGATTTAAGTTACATGAACCTCACACCGTGCCCTAAGACCAGAATGGCTCACATCTAGGATTAAGTGATGTGCTCACACCAAAACACAGCCAAGAAATGGGTCATGGATGCTTCCTCAAAGCCTATTTTCTATCCCTGGTAAAAGAGAGCTTTGAGGTCTTTGCTGGGATGCCATGTTATGGAGTCCCCTGCTTTTGGTATTGTACATACCAGTTACAGAGATTCCCCAGTGGCTTTTAAAGGGCAATGCCTGTACATCCTCTGTGTTAAGGAAATAATACATACTGCGTTTTTACAGATGCTTAGAGAGAAAATACAGCTGTGAAATTACCACCAACGGCTCTACAAGGCAAACAGAGAGCATCTTATGTCAGATCCACCCAAAGCACAAACAACAGTGCTGAATAGCTGCTTATATTACATTCTCCTCATGTACTGAATTCCTAATTTGTTCCTGAGTCTTCTCTGCCCCACAGTTCACAATGAAGACAAAAGTCATCTTCCCAGTTAGTTAGAAGCGAGTCCTACACGTATGTCAGTGACAGCTCCTCAAACGGTACAAACCAGCGCAGCCATGCTGCGCGGCGCTGGACCTGCTCTGCGCCCACACCAGATCCGACTCACGCTCTCTGACCCAGCCCAAAAGCACCGACACCAGCAGAACCACTGCGAACCACCGCCAAAGGGCACAGGTGTCTGGTCTTGCCTCCCTGCACTGCTTCTCTGGTCACCTGCTGCAGCCGGGTTTTAATTCTGGCACCTGCATTCCCGTGGCGACTCCACCACGGCCGTGGTTTGAAATCAAGTCACGCTTCCAGCACGCGGCTTTCAAAGCACGCCTTTCACAGACCCAAGGACGTGAGCTTCGAGAGGAATTCATGGTAAACAACAACTTCCACGGGCCGCTGAGCAGAACGCCTGGCTACAAATGCTGGGCCTCAGTGGGTCTGCCCCCTCCCACCTTTTTCTGCTGTCCCCTCTATTAACCCGTGTCTCTTTAGGAAAGGCAAGAGTGATACTCAGGAATGGGCTTACTCAGGAATGGTGTGGTATCCACCTAAAGGAAGGTCTGCTGTTTTCATTAAGGTTAGTTTGAAGAGCTGAGATTTAAGAGGACCGAGTTCACTCAGTTCACTGCTCTGCCAGACTACCACTGAGACTTTGGCCACGCTTACCAACTCTATGCTTTGCTCCTCAACTGCAAAATGGGGTTCATCCTCCTCCTTTTTTCTCACTTGAATTCTACTTCACAGCCTTTTATCAATATTGAAATGTTTCTCTTTGGGTAATACACTCACACTTCTGCCTGTTGCAAGACGGCCCAGTATTCCCTGGGTCCTACTCGGATTTTCCCCAGCACTGAACTTGACCCCATCACCTCTCCTTTTCCCTCATCCCTATGAGTTCCCAAGTAAAGGCAAATGCTAACAATTTCTTGTTCAATTGCTACATTGCCTAAGCGACTTAGAGCACAGGTCCTACGGCTTTTCAGCAAGGCTCTTGTCCCCACATCACTCGGGTGTAAGTGATGATTTCACCAGGCTCTTTACCTATATTTAATGGCATTTGTCATACATCCTCCTTGCATACAGCCACAGTTCCTGGGGATCACAAAATCAGGAGCAGATAAAAATAACCATGGCCACATGCAAACAAATCCTTGCTGCAGACGGTTCAGAGAAGAGATGCAGATTCCAAAAGAGGCTCTCTTGCAGCCAGGCCACCAGTGGCTTGAGTTGAACAGGCCCCAGATGCCACTTCCTTGTCTGGGCTTCAGCTGTGCTCTTGAGGACGGTGGTGTGACTGGACCCTATTGCAAATCGGACTCACTCTGGACTGGGTCCGTAGTCCCGGCCTTAAAGTCACGTCTGAGTCCTCACTGCCTCAGACAACTAGACATGGTCTGTTCAAACTCCCACTCCTTCACGAGCTGTCAGTGTGATGAGCTGTCAGTGAGGTCACTCCAGGGCCCTTCCCCTCTCTTTCTCTCTCATGGGACAGGCAAGGCCAAATCTAAGGAAAAAAAATTCCTGATAACAGCACATCCTATTGCAACTAGCACTGCTCCACACACCATCACCTGCTCACCAACTGACAGCATGGGATGCTGCTGGCTCTTTCCACGTGTGTATGTATCTGTGGTTTCGTCTGTGTGCGTGGTGAGGAAGTTATGGTTAAGGTTACGTTACTGATGGTATGAAGGTAATCAGTCAAAAAACAACAAAAACACCCACAATGTAAATTTCCACTTAAAATGAAAAATATGCAGGTCACAGGAGAAGCAGCAGAGGCACATGTTTGACATGTCTGTCATATTACTGGACATTCTTGCAAGTACTCTCCAAATGGCTTTCTTTTCCCAATTCAACTCAGGCCATTTGCTTTTCTGCAGCCAAATCACACAGCCTGAAACAACTCTTTCTCCACCTTAGAGGGCCCAGAGGCAGAGTCAGATGGAAACACTGCTGCAGCGTGACAAAAGCTGTACAGTCTCACCAGCTCCAGGGCCAATCTTCCTCGGAAAGAGGTTTGCTGGGACAAACGGTGCCTTTCCCAGCCTCTATTGTCCCTGCAAACGGCTGGCCTTGCCTGTACACCGCTGAGAACGGACAAGTGTTTAAAAGTCAGAACGTTATCCCATACAACCTTGAAACAGATCCCCTGCGTAAATCGGTGAGGCCTTCTGCTCACCTCTGATTTGTTCCACGTGGCGAGGATGGAAGGCAGCATGCCGTGTGTGGATGCCACTTGCTGAACAGCTCACAAAGGCCTCCACCTGCCCCTGATCCCCTTTCCCCATCTGTCCATCACATCCACTCATTCCAGCTCTAAATTTCCTCTTGGCAGAGACCATCTCCTGTTGCCAGTCTTTACAACAGCTCTGCAGGGCCCAAATGAGAACTCTTGCAGAGATGTAACTCCAACTGCATCCAAAACCTAGCTGCAAAGAACCCTCAGACCAACCCAGAGCCAAAAAGGAAGGGATGGATTCAACCGAACAGCACGCGAGCTTGTAACCAGCAACAGTGCCTGGGAACAGGGTAACTACTTCTAGTTCTGGTAACTGTATTTCAACAATGGAAAGATTTAAAGTAATGATGGTACCACAGCTCACTCTTTTCAATTGGAAATGATCCTGTAGCCCAGGTAAAACTCATGCCAGGCGTCCTGGGGACTGGAAACAGCTGGCTGCAGGAAGAGCACATGTGTGCCAAGTCTCATTTGCATCACTCAATTAGCTTTCCCTTGGCTATTGCAGAAATGTGTTTCCTGATGTGGCTCACTGGATAGTCTCTCAGGTCAGGTCAGAAGTGTTTTTCCCTGGCTCTCTGCCTTTGTGCCAACGTGCCCTCACCAAAACACAGCCAGACAGTTTCCTTGGGAAGGTCTGAGTAAAGGTAAGAGTGAAAATCTGCACCAGTAAGTGAACGAGACCAAGTTAATTTATACCACCAGCAATCCGAGTTGGATGGCACGAACGCACTTACAAGGGTCACAGCATCGGTTGTGCGTGACAGACGCAAGGTTGGATACTGCAAAAGGGTTTTCTGTAGCAGGCTGCCTGTACAGGCTGCTGCCTCATCACCAGGAGGATGAAAAACTACGCAGGATGGTACCAGCTACTGACCACATTACTAGTGGTATTATCGCCTGCCACCCACTGCAGAGAAAGGGAAAGCCACCTCAGTGATACCGGGCAGTGCGGCTTGATCAGCCTCCGTGGAGCCATGCTGGATTGCTACCAGCCAAGGATGGGGCCAACCTCTGGGGTCCCACATGCATCATTCCAGAGGATGCCACTCCAGCAGAAGGAAGTCAAACTCATTCCAGATACATTGGTTTTCTTCCTCAGGAGACACACATGTATATTTAAGGCGCTCGAGACAAATGCAACATGACACGGATGTTAGAGGGCAAAATCTTGTGCAGCCAAACAATAGGTTTCTGTAAATAATCAGGCTACTCCTTCTCTTCAGCATCTGCCTCCACATTTATTTTTGTTTAGCTCCAGATCCAGCTTGTTCCGGGGGGCAAGGGAGAGCAAGAGCTGCTCAATTAAAACCAGGCAGCTGGTCAAAGAGCAGAAACCACCAGCACCTCAGTGATGTGCTGCGCTCCCAGTGCCATCCTGTGGTGAAACCTAGCTAGCACAACGGGTAGCCGGAGCGGAAAAACCGCCAACGCACCGCCAATAACTCAGCAGGGAGGTGCTCCCAACCTCGTAAACCATGAGGGAAGGCTCAAGTCAGCAAGAGGCTGGAACTGAAATACAGCCCCACGATTTAATTTACTGCTATCTTTCCTGCTTAGTTTCATACGGTCATTTTTCTCGAAGAAAGAAGAAGATTTATATTTAAATATGTCTGGAATTATAGATGTTTGAAAGAGCAGCACAAAAGCAACACACACTGCATGACCACAGCAAGCCAGAAAAGCTTAAAAATCAATTGGTGAGGCCGAGGAAAATGCACTGTCCTGACTGACTACTCCTTAGGGTCAGACACAAGTCCTGCATTTGAACCTAACTCTGCCCTAGGTACATGAGTGCAGCTGCTGCAACTCGCTGCATGCCATCCACATTCCCAGCCTCAGCCTCTGAGATACAGCAAGCAATTTTCTAAAATAAACCCAAACTTCCATAATCCCTGAGAACAGCCAAGAAGCCCAAGCACTCAGAGAAGTTCTTTTACCAAAAAAGAGTGTTTCCTCTGGCCGAGTGAGGCAGTGAACTTGGTTTTAAGACAACCCTGCTACTCCAAGCACTAAAATAAACTCCTCAGCCTTGACTGCACCTGTGCTCAGGGCTTACCATAGGATTCCCAGTAGAAGGATCCCCAGCAGGACCATTGTGTCCTAGGGTCTCTCTTACCTGTTCAGTTCCTTCAGGATCTTCTCCATGTTCACAATGCCACGCATCTTATACAAGAACCATTTGTCAATGGCCGTGAGTTTGTGAATGACATCAACAGGGACTTCGTTATCCAAGGCCTGCCAAAAAGAGGACAGCACCCAACAGCCCATTTAATAAAGCTTCACAAAACCAGATTTAGTCTGCAAATAGGTAGCAGCAACTATATAGCACAAAGATGAAAAAAGTACTGTAGACTAAGCTGGACAGATCAAAGGTTCATCTACACCAGGATCCTGTCTCCTGCAGGAACAGAAAATGTGCCCCTCAAGCAGCATAGGGAGGCACCAGCCACTTCTGCACATGCTTTGGGACCAGAAGCTGGTTTCTGTTTAAGCAAGAAAGAGGCAATTTGCTTTCTACAGAGCCAGCAGGCAAACTTAAACTGACAGCAACAAGGCTTGGCTGCCATCGAGTATGCACCTTAGTGCACTACAGGGGGGCATATTGAGCCTGCAGTGCCCACTCCTCCATCTGTGCCTCTTATCACTCAAGTTGCCTGAGTCTTAGACCCACTGCCAACCTGCTGGCTGCAAATGTTAAACAGGAAGGTCCAGATTCTCAGCTGTGAAGGAGCTCTTTGCTTTCAAGCATAAATCTCAATTTACCCTTGAAATACACGGCTGAATCAAAGCCTGTGGCCTTGAAATACCTTTGAAGCAAAGGAACGTCCAGTCCTGGGTGACACTTGGCAACTACAGCATAACATTTCTGGGGTCTCACCAGTGGTGTGCAGTTACAAGTCTCCTGATAAGACAACTATAATCAACCATAATGACAATACCAGCATGGTATCTTTGCCGAGCTGAAGTAATCAGGCTCATTAATTTGTTACCACGCTGAACTGTTTTCTTGCAGGGACAGCATCCCTGGAACAAAGTCAGAGCAGTGTCACTGAAGAAAACTCCAGCATTAATCCAGGAAGGACTTTGGCCCCCCGCACCCTGGCATTATTCCTCCAAGCTCTCAAGCTGCAGACACTGCATTGTACCATCACTGTATGCTTCAGTGCAGTGATGTGAAGACGTGATGCCAGCTGAGAGAAATGCAGCTGTATGGAGAAGGGATGGGTAACAGCTCCCATCAGGCACTGCAGAATACTGACACCACCTTTTCCAAGGGCAGCAGCTTGCCCAGGTCTCCCTCTCTTGTCTTGAGAGGTAATAAGCCGCTGACTTGAATAGCTTGCTTGCTCACAAGCAGCAGTGACAATCCCTAATGCACATTTTGCTCCTTCAGAGTAACCAGTGACTGACACACCGAGCCTTCAGCTAGCACTTGGCACCCAACAGCCACTGCTCGTCCTGCAGAGAGAAGCCTGGGGCCATCACAGTGGTCCCTGAGCACTGGCAATAACAAGGCTGGGCTTCCCACACACTTCTGGGTATGTTACTGGTATGAGGCTACTGGTAAGATGTCCCTCCCATCCCAACTCCTTAATGCTTGGAGGCGAAGGTCACACTGCCACATTAGTGGGACACAAGCAGGTCTTTGCCCATTTGTTTTCACAACAAACGTTCAGGCTTGCACATTCGGAGGATCTCTGACCTTCAGTCAGTGGTCCCTGAGCCACCCAGACCATACACAGGTACCACGACCACATACACTTGATCTGCTTAGGACACTTCATTTAAAAGCCCTAGGGATCTTCAAGGGAGACTGAGAAAAACAAATGCCTTCCCCTCCTTACTCAGAGGAGGGGCAGCAAAAATAAACCATCTTCACCCCTGTGGCATAAATATGGAATCTGGGAGAGAAGAATGAGTTTGCAGACAGTTTTTGCTCCCAAATCATACACAACAGGGTCAAATCAGGTTTCCAGGCAGAAAATCCCTGTAGGATCCAGAGTGTGGATTGCATCCACAGGGCAGGTCTTCTGAGACCACTCATGCAGCTCCTCAGATGGCCCCGAAAGATGCAATAGAGCCTGAGCAGCCCTGCTCATCAGGCAGTTACATCCTTGCAGCATTCGGCCGCTCTGGCCAAGGAACAAGCCTCATCCATTTCAGCGGGGAGTGCCACTACAACAGCAAGAGCTCTGAACAACAGCTGAACGCCCTTCCTTTCCCCCTGAACCATTCCTGGGTTTGTCATCCATCACACAAAGGAGAGAGAAAAAGTAAAGAGCCTGGGAGAGTTGACCAGCGGGGCTGGAGGGGGAGGACAAGACACACAAAGAAGATCCATCCCGTTTCAAACAAAGCTGGCAGCTAACGGGGACTAACTGTTGGCTTTTAAATGTCAGCAAGCTCGAAGGGGATTTCCAGGCAGGCTTCCCCAGCTGCCAGAAGTACCTCTTGGTGATACTGCTTGCCTCAGTTATTAACAGGGCCGACTTAGTGCACTGTGTCAGGCAGAGGCAGCCCTTTATACGGAAGGATTAAGACTTTGATCTTGCTTTTTTCTACAGCTCCCAGTGAAAATGCCACCAGCTGGGAACACCTGGAGCGTTCACTGGGGCCCAAACTCACCCTCATCTCCCCAGATCCCCTGTGTTAACACAGGACTAAGATTAACCTTTCCTAAAAGCTCTCTGAGCCACTCAGAGAGACAAGAAGCCAGATTTTTCTCTCAGTCACAAGAGAAAGCTCTAATAAAGACCAAGCACAGCTGCTGAAGGATGTTCTACACTTAGGAAGACACGCATTTCCCCAGCTTGAAAAGCGAGAGTCAACAGCTGGACAAGCCACACATTTACAGAACATCTTGTGCTTTTCGTTCAGGCCATTTGCAAGAGGAACAGTGACGTGAAAACCTTTTTACAAACACAGCACAACCTCAGCTCCCCACACTCACGTGGAGGATGCAGTGAGATGTATCTACACGTGAGCACAAAGGGCTTAAAGACTCCACCACACAAAGCCAGGGGCACGAAAAACAGTAATTGCATGGTCCCTGCCAGGAAGCTTAGCAATCTTAAAATAAGCCAACAGGTAAATATGAACTAGAAAAGACAGGTGCCCCCTCCTCTTCATGGAGGGTATGGACAGATGGACAAGTTAGCTGCAGCAAAACCGAAGTGTGAAATTACACCTACCCTGTAAGGCAGCTTACCCCATATTTAGCGTGTGAGATACACAGGCAAACAGCATGGAGCTGAAGGAATACATGGTTTTGTGCCCTAGCTCCCCTTACAATAACACCCTCGCGTTACCCAGATGCCTTGACAGATGCAAGGGATTTGCCCAGTGTGACAGGAGAAGGGTTAAAAGAATGCTAGGGGAAGATGAGCCTATTTCAAAATAATGGGGATTTCCTGTGCTAAATTTAGAATCCCAGACTGGTTTGGG